GGAGGGTCTGTCTGCAGCTGCCCAGCTGTCCCTCCATGGGCAGGGCACTTGTCCCGGCTCCACTGTGCCCACCCGCCCTGCCTGCCTCTCTCTGATTGCTTCTTCCTAAGGAGATTTAGGCAGTTTGCGTCAATCAAGGATTTAACACAAGACATAAATGCCATCCCCTCTTAACACAAACAAACAGCTGCCAGCACCTTTCTTGATGAGACAAGGGTGCCTGGGAGGCTGGAAAAAAGTTGGTGATTTCTGGTGAATTCTCCTCTTTTCCTATCTTATCTTATCAGTTAATCACAAGATTGATTTTAAACATTCTCATTTCTCCACAGTAGCAAAAAAGTAGTTAAAAAAATATGAAGGCAGGTATAAATACCAGGGGATCCTTATGAAAAATAATATTAAAATCCCTGAATTGCTTACATAGTATGAAAGCCATTAACATGGTTAACATAGGCTGTCATTAAAATTTTTTCCAGTGCCAATTGTCTAAATAAGGAAGCAGACAAAACTCAAATAATGAGTTACTGTATAAGGCTCAAGTCTTGGTCCATGAAGTACAATACATCTATATCAAAACTGTAGAAAAAGTCAGCATTCACAAATTACAGGGCTTCAAGCCTTGCCAGATTTTTTTCCAGTAGATTGGATATTATTCAATTAGTATTCAGTTAATATTCTTGCTATTCTGTATATTACATTATTAAAAATATCATTAATAATATATAAAAGATTTAATTAAAAATCTTGAATGTCACTGTTTCAAATTGCAAAACCAACACAATACCTGCTTGATTTTAGAAACAATTGCTTCTGGTCTTTAAACCTGACCAAGTTCAGCCGCATACTTGCAAATCAAACAATTATATAACAGAATTATGAAGTCTTTAAAAACTGGTTTAATCATTGCACAATGAACTTCAGGAAATTATTGCGAAATTAGCAGTTTGCCAGCTGCCCAGTAGAAGGCAGACAAGGAAACATCCCTTCCCCCTAAATGATCTATCATCCAGCAACCCGGTACATTTTCCTCCTCACTTCTCACCATGAGCACATTGGCATTTTTCTCACGGGTTAAAATGAAGAGGCCTAATTACAGCTCACATATTGTTTTATTTCCTCATAAAATAATTTAAATACAAGTACCTCTTCTTTGCCCTAGATTCTCTTTTCAGTATGCTGTTCGGTAGCTCCTACTGAACACCATTAAATCTGTCACAGTCATCCTTGTAGCCACGGTTCCAAAAGTTCCCTGCACTATGTCAGAAGCTTATTATAATTATATCACCTCTTAGCACTTGAACTTTTGATCTGATTTTCTTAAAAATAGCAAGGAGCCCCAGTTTAAAGAACATTATTGAAAATAACAGTATTAATGCTATTTAATCAGCTCAGTTTTCTTCTAGTCTCTTGAAGCAGAAGGCAGTGGGCTGCATATTCTATTCTACACTCAGATTGACTCGAAGTTCAAAGCTGTGTCTTCGAGTAATTTCATTCTGACACTGTTAAATAGCAATTCAGGAACCATGCAAAGCATCATGCTAAGATTTTCAGGTAAAGCTTGTCCATCCTAATTTCCCATATTCTTCTGCTGACAGGTTTTGGGAGTCAAATCCAAAACCTTCTACTCTCAACTTCTTTCTCTCTTTCCATGCCCCTGCAGAAGCAGGGAGGGTTGTAGGACTGAGTGAACTGAGTCGCAGGCTCAGCACCTATTCTTCGCTTTGAGGCTTCCTTAGGACCCTCCCTGCCTTTCTGAAAAACTCCATGTAAACAGCATTCAATTATGTTCTAAGGATGTTTTCATAAACCTTCAAAACTCTAAGTCCTGCTCAAGGGGTAATATCACCCAGTTTTTTAGACAAAATTAAAATCAGATGTACTTCTCTTGAAAACAGGGTCCCAAACATATCCTAAATTTCACCAAAAAAATAGAAAATGCTGGAACTTCATAGAATGATTTTTGTCAACACACTATCTGATTATCTTTTATTTTCTGTAAGTCAAAGGGATATGGAAATAAATAATGTAACATGGAAATGGAAATAAATATGCCACAGAAGTTTAAAAAGTAAAATGGCAATCACTGGGACAGTTCTTGTCCTCACTTATGCTCACTCAATCCTAATTAACACTGGCAGAATTTGGCCTGCTGTACAAGCCACATCTAATCCCTCCACTGTAGTCTGCCACGCCAGAAGGTTATTCCTTGAAACACTCCCCAGTAAGCCGGATAATTCCAGAAATGACATTTCAATGCCATCGAATCAGTTTGCCCCATGCTACGATTTAATTTCTAAGCCTTTTCTACTTGACTGTACATGTATTACAACATAGAAATGGTGACAATGGAATCTTTTTTAGAAAGAAATCTGAACCAACTACAAGTATTTTTGCCTGTGGATTGGGACACTCATTTGAAAATTACTGAGTCTTTGCAAGGGCAGCATCACCTCTCATTTACTGTATGTATAAAAGGTTCCTCACAAATTACAAATTACAAGCAGAACAGCTAGAAAGAGATAACAGGCAGCCAGAGAATCATCTAATGAATAAGATAAAGATAAAACTGTTTGCTTCATGTCTTAGGACTGAGTTTAAAGTCAGACACTGGAACAGCAAGAGCAGAGCAGCAAGAGCAGAGCAGCTGTTTTTACAATATTTAGCTCCCGGCTCTCAGAAAAAGGGCCTGTGAGGGCAGGGGAACATAGGGAAAAGTGATGGGCTGACTATTCCAGAGGCTGCTGGAGCAGAGCAGGGGAGAGTTTAGGTTTGGTTGCATCATTTGCCCCAAGGCTGACATGTCCAGAGGCCATTTTGCATCTCCTTGTCTGAGCTACACTTACAACTCATTACCTATAACCCTGTAGTGAGGGTTTAGCATAGAAAACTATGATGTAAAAAAAAAACAAACAGATCCTGCAAACAAATTGGCCCTCTCTAATAAACGGAAGTTATTTTTCTAAATATTTACAGGTTCAGGTCCTTGCTGTGCTGACACTATAATCTATGTGGAATAAAGGGCACTGCTGCTGTTTCCAGGAAGAAGTACTCTGTTTTCCCCTTTATGCCATGTAGGGATTAAACAGGGCCAGCTTCTGTACCAAGCCCAGGGTTTTGCACTCTTTGGCAGCCTGGCTTTATCAGCTTCATGTCCAGCTGCCTGTGCAGGTGAGGAAGAGCTCAGCCAGCAGCACTTGCTGTTTCTGCAGAGCTCTGAAAAATGGGCAGCTCAGCAAGGCTGAGAGAAGTCACTATACCTGATGCCGAAGCCAGGAACTCCCTATTATGCAGATAAATGCAGCTACACTTTTCAGGATATTCATGTCTTCATCACATAATGTATATGAATGACATAGCTTTCCATTTTCACGGATGCCCCTCCCTAGAGCATCAGGGATAACATTTAAAGACCACACTTCTTTTTTTTTTTTACAGCTTAAATTTCACACAATTTCTTCACCTGTTTTCCACTGCCTTGCTGAAAACACTCAAATTTAATATCCTTGTTTGTGCTGCTTTCAGCTGGGGTAGAGTTAATTTTCTCCACAGTGACTAGTACAAGGCTGTGTTTTGGATCTGTGCTGAACATGGGGTTGATAATGTAGAGATGTTTTTGTTGTTGCAGAGCTTGCACAGAGCCAAGGACTTTTCTGCTTTTCATGCTGCCACACTGGGAATGGAGCTGGGAGTGCATGGGAGGTTCAAGGAAAGACAGCTGGGACAGGTGACTCAAAGTGACCAAAGAGATATTCCAGACCATATGACATCATGCTCAGGATATAAAGTTTGAGGGAGAAGGAGGAATGGGGGAACATTTGGAGTGATTGTGTTTGTCTTCCCAAGTCAGTGTTACACCCGCTTGGGCTGTGCTCTCCTGGGGATGGCTGAACACCTGCCTGCCCATGGGAAGCAGCAAATTAAATCCTTGTTTTGCTTTGCTTGTGTGTGTGGCTTTTGCTTTTCCTATTAAACTGTTTTTTTCTCAACCCACGAATTCTCCACATTTTCACCCTTCCAATTCTTTCCCCAATCTCTCCAGTGGGGGAGTGAGTGGGGCTTGGCTGCTGGCTGGAGTTAAACCATGACATTGGTAAAACTAACTTTTAACTCTGCCAGTCATGAGACTGCTGGCTTTCTTTCTTTTTTTTTGTTCTTTCTTTTTATCTTTCTCTTTTCTTTTCTTTTTCTTTGCAAAGCAGAAACATAAAGCCTTTAAAAATACCCAGTGTCGAAGAATAAGGAGATTCATATCTTCTCCCTCGCACTCCATACTCCACTACACCTCCTTGAAGACAATTTTAGTAAGAAAAATAAAATTATCAAGTCAACCAAGTATTTAAACATGCAGTTTTCTTCAATTCTGACAGATATCTTAACAGATATTAGAGCTAATACTCAGGCAAATGTGCAACAAAACAGATTCTGATGGGTATTTAATTATATATTCAGCATACATATTTTTTTTAAGTTTTCCCAGTAAATAGATTGCATTCAATAGCAAAATAATTTTCTAAGTTCTGCTAGAATACAACTTTATAAACCATGAACCACAAAAGAACACTAAATCTCAAACCTAACATAGAAACATTAAAAGACTTTTGGGATGCCCCTCATCACATTATATTCCAGACCACCTATCTGTAAAAGACTTGGAGACTTGGAGTTTTTACCTATGCCATCAACTGGAAACTGATAATGTTATATCATAAAACACTGCAGGCAGCTATAAATATTTCTGAAGCTCATCAAAATCCTTAGAAAGGGGACGAGTAAGCAAAAGTTTGTGCAAAAGAATACAAAAATTCTTCAGAGCAGAGAAGAGAATGGGCGTCAAGAAGGTCATTTTGCTGGCATTGGCAAGGCTACTTTTCAGGAGAACTCAGGATGGTGTCTCATCCTTGAATTTTAACACTATTACTTTACTGTCTTTTTCTTATGTGTACAATTCAGACTAATCTATTCAGATGTACTAAGGAAAATTAAGAGATTTATTCTCTCACTTATTCTCTATTAAAATCTCTTGAGATTCATCCTAAAACTGGGACAATATAAAACTTGGAAGGATAAAAACATAATGTGCTGACAGCAGTGTAAACTCACTGTATGGCAGGATTTTGTAGAAGGCAGAAGAGAAGAGCAGCTTAAGGAGCTGATTCTGCACCTCCCAGCACAGACCACTGAGAGGCCCTCTGGGCAGCCTCGATGCCAGGCAGGAAGAACTGCTTAGGTTTTAAAGCATATATAAAAAGGCATTGAAACATCTCTCTCTCTCTCTTTGGAAATTCAGGGCCTGAAAAATACAACTTTAGACTTTCCAAAACAGTTTTCAGCTCAGTGCTCTGCAGCCCATTGTCATACCAACATGAACACTAAATTTCAGCATGTCTTTTTGCTCTGAAATATATTCAATGATTTTATATTTTCTCATGTCAAACTATAAGTAAAAGAGAGAATAGAATGCTCAATACAAAACAAGGCATTAATGGGCATCCCAAACTATAGTTTTTGAAAGGGCTGAAATCTTCCTGGCACAATACAGAAAGACCCTGTGGAATGTTTTAAAGTTAACATAATCCTAATATTTACCATACAGTATTTTTAGATTGAACTATCCCAATCCTGAAGAAGGGATAATTCATTACCGTGGCCAGAGAACAGAGCTGCACAATCTCCCACCAAGACAGGCAGTGTGGGCTGTGTTTGGACACACTTACACAGAGCTGGGCACCCAGAGGAATGAACCTGGAGCACGGGAAGGGAGGCACAGCACTGCACTTGGCCACAATTCCAGCCACCCCTCCACTGCTCCGGGGGGTGATGGCACCCCAGGCCACCCTGACCCGTGTCCAGCCTGCCAAACAGCTAAGGCAGCCCCATGCCCAAACACCCCACCTTTGTGAAGGATGGCAGCACCAGATCCAGGAAAGGATCTGGCAAGGGTAGAGCTCAAAACGAGCATTTCAACCCTGAAAACTCCTTCCTGCTACACTCCAAAACTTCTCATGGGAAAGCAGCACTTACTCCTGAGACAAAGAAGAGCTCAGCTCTTGTTGAGATAACAGAGCATCTCTGCACTCTTCCCTTACCAGACTTCACCTGGCAGCTTCGGAAAATGCACAAACAGGAGCAGCCTACTGCAACAAAACATGGGAAATAATGAGACCCTTTTTTTTTTTTTTTTAATGGAATAAAAATAATAAAATTGCTATATGAAGAGTAGGGAAAATCAGCCAATTTCAAGCACCTTGTCTGGTGCAGGAAAGAAGTGCTGAAGGTCATGTCCCATCATTTCTAGTTAGAGCTTCTTGAATCATTCCTTTTTGGGAGCACGGGCCAAATAGGGGTCTTGGAATATTTTGTAATGTCTTGTAGAACACTAGGAATACACCTTTTTTTTTTTTTCATATTTACTTTTACTGAAACACAAATACAAAATTAGTAATTTTGAATTTTAAAAATTAATATTGTAATAATTGATTCAGGACTTGATTTTTAGAAACATTCAAATTCAGAGTGTATGTTCATAGAACAAGTACAATCCCCCCTTCAGAACCTTACAGATCTTTGGGTCTGGGTAACAAAGAGTATCATGAATTCACTGATGATTTCCCTTTGCATCTCAGTAACAGTTAAACATATCTCACATCTGTCAGATTCCTGAGTTTTCAGTTCCAGCTTCCATTTTACATACTCATCACAGTTAATATTAATTGGTAATCAAACAGAAAAGCACCTGAAGCAAAGAAACAGGACAGAAATAACCTTTATATTCCCACCAGGCAAGAACTCAGACATGGCAATAGGGCAATGTGTTTACCATTTATGTTTACCCTGTGCATAATAAAAGACTTGTCCAACCAGAGTGAATACTCATTTTTTCATCAGCATTTTTGTTTTTCAAATGGAAGGTTTTTATCATATGCAAAATTGCATTAAGCATGTATAATGACTTGTTCAGTGATTTGCATAAACATCTTCCATGGCGTGCACAAAACTTGACAGCTGTGATTTGCTTTACCCATGCATAAATAACAACAAAATCGGCCCAAAGACTTTTACTTCACATTTTAAATGTGAAGCCTAGGAGGGCAAAAAGAATGGTTATCACTTCCAGAAACACTGGAAAATCAGTGTTAGCCTAGACCTAGCAAGTACACACTAGAAAACATACATAAAAAAAAGGTAAGTAAAGAATATAAAATTCCCAAATCACAGGAGATTTATACTCAATATTTTGACCTCAGGGCTGAATGGGACATAAGTATAGTCACAAGGGATAAATCAATACATGTTTCTTTTAAACGATAAAGAATATTTTAAGTGTTTTGAGAACTCAATATTTCAAATATCTACCATTTGCATACTTGGAGAAGATACAAATATTTCAAATTTTTAAAATAAAATTAAAATATTTCCAAAATACTTTTAGGATTTTACAGTAATTTGAAGTACCTTAAAATACTTTGGTTAATCTATTCTATGGTTAATTTTAGGATATTTTTGAAGTCTACCAGGAGTAGTCACTGGCTGGAATTTATTGAAGGTTTATTATTTGCTTCTTTCTATAACAATTTCTAGCTATTTAAAATGTGCATAAAAGTAAATTTGTCTTTAATCTAGGTGCCTACACTGTGCCAATGGAAAGGCAGGTTTTCTGTCTGAGGAGATGATTTTCTTTAGATTTAATCAGCATTTAGAAGGTGGGAGGATATGGAAGAAAATGACTTTCATGACCTTTGCCTTCTTGCACTCTCAGATCTGGACCATTTAACTACTTTAGTCAAAGTATCCTCTTTAAACAATACAGGCTTTATTTAGCAAATAAGCTGATCAAGCAGACAGTTTAATTATTTGCCTTCAGCAGGATATGCACATTGGTCACTGCTGAAAATCAAAACTACTTTTGCAATAAGTTCTACAGAACAATATTTTAATATGAATATAAAAGTCAAAATTTAACCATTCAGTGAAAATCACTGAGTAATGTCTTAAATATTTAGAACTAGAAGGAAATTAATTAATATTAATTTTTTTAAAATTCAAATAATAGTATTAGCAAAAATATAATCAGTAAAATATATTTTTTTTTCAATTAAATTGTGAAAGTATTTATCAGGGCAGCCTTTGGATAGCAATCCCTTGAGCTGCTAATTATTTACTTATTTAGTTGCTTAGGAGGAAGGTAGCAAAAACTATGTTACCATCCTTATGCTATAAAAAGTTTCACAGCATCTGAGTTAAGAGCAGCCTGGCCTTGGCAGTGGTGTGCTGTACCGGAAGGCAGACAGCACAGCACAGGAAAAGAGCCTAGAGGCATTAGTGTAATCCATCGAGGTTAAATGTAGGAAAGCTAAAATTATTTAATACTTTTTAAGCCCACAGTACAGTAAATGGCCTGTTGCTAGGAAGCAATCCTGGCTAAAAATACAGCTCTTTTTAATATGCTGACTTTATGTCTGAAGAATGCCAGAAATGGGTCTCACTGAAGGTATTTCTCACACCCCTCCTCTCCTTCCATTGAGTCCCCAATTCACACTCACAAATGTATGAATTCCAAGTGCTCCTCAGCCTGGAGGTTGTGTTTGACCAAGGAAAAGTCAAGCTCAACAGATGGATGATCTTTACTAACATCTTGTCAAGAATGCCCACATCAGGGGACCCATGGTAATAAGTAAAAACTCTCTAAAATTATAAGACTTAAAGTTCTGATCCCCCAGTCTGACCACAAATTTGCCATCATGAAGGAAGAATTTTCTCCCAGGAACCTGAGAACCCTGGAAAAGGCTGACTGCCTGGGGACAATTCTAGAGGAAATTGAGGGATGCAGTAAATGGTCCCAAGCACCTCCTTGTATATCATGATAAATTCCCACAAATAAAAGCATTTGACTGTCCCAATTTACAGCTGTAAACAGGTGAAGCAATCCTTAGACATGCAAATTAAAAATTTAAAACCTCATATTGGCAGTACTGGCAGAATTGCTGAGGAGTTGCACCCATTTAGCTCTCAGAGAACTGACCAGTCACTGGACCAGTAAGTTCAACACTGTTAAGAAACACAGCACACCAAAACATGACTTGCAAGGGATGAAAGTGCCACGAATAACTTAAAAAATGTGACCCCAGACCTTTCAAGAGGGTCTGGGTGAAGCCACAGTTGTAACATTTTGTGCAACAGATAGATAGTCACACTTCAGAGGATAAATAATATATTGATGAAAGAATAAAATATATAACCTTAAGCACAGACTTGAAAAGGTATCATGAGTTACTGTAACCAACTTGAAGACTTTGAGCACATAGTATTACACTGGTCTGTCTACTCTACAGCATTTAGTGAATGCATTCTTTAAGTAAATTGTGACACAAACCTGTGTTTCTCAGTAGTTTCACAGTGCCTCTGAAAATGAATGTGCAAGTAGAAACTGATGACAGCTTTAAAATAAATAGTAAATAATGTCTTTCTTTAATTATTAGATAAATTTCCTGTCAATAATTTCTGCTATTGCTGAATTATTTTGAAATTCAACTTTATTCTTTATGCTTTTACTCTGCAATCCTTTCTCATTTCTAGGTAGTTTTCTAATGAAAAGGAAGATAGGTTTTCACAGCTAGTTCCACCTTCAGATTTTCAAAAGGTTTAATTTTTTTTCTAAAATCCTTTCCTCCTGTCTTAAGAAGAGAACAGCCTGGCCACCCTTTTAATTGAGAACCTAGTTTGTCCCCATCCAACAGGCAGGTAATTTTCTATCCTATGTTCATAAACATTACATTTGGAATCTTGCATTTATCAGTCAGCAAAGAGTCCTCTGCATCAGTGAGGTATAAAACTCTACCTCTTCTCATTCCTTAACACACTGACTACTTGGCATCTTTAGGGAGGAATGTTTTCTCTCTGGATTTTATATTTTCTGTCAATTTGCACATTACAACCACACAAGAAGTGGACATCTAACTAGGCTAGTTTTTGTGTAACTTGATGGAAGCCATGGCTGATACCAGAAACAACAGGTA